GATTTATTTTGATGATGGTGTTAAGTGGGGGGTCTCTTTTCAAATATGCATCATTTTTTTTTGAACCCTTAGTAACCATTTTTATCAATATATCAATAAATCCTTCACAGTGCTGATTTTTTTTGCTGTTTGAGTTCTTTCTGTGTGAGCTATAACTGCATAGCCATTTTTTGTGCATTATAAACCTTAAATAGAATAAATAATTTTTATTAAAAGAACTTATAAATGTAAAACATACATATTTTCAACATTTATCAACACAACTATTCATCTCAAATATAATAAATCAAGTACAATAATCTTGGTATTCACTGCTAGAAAATGTATTTATATTATAAACCATTACTATAATAACTTAAAGTATATTTATCTATCTATAATGCTTCTCAGTTCTGATTTTTATTATTGTTGTACCATTTGTATAAATACTTTTATTTACAGTATTTTATAAAATAGTTTAGTATGTTTTTTTGAGAGATTAAATCATTATTATTATTTTTAATAATGTATAAATAATAAAGGTATAATAATAAAATATATACCTACCCTAAATAGAATTAATAATATTTTTTAATGTAGGTACCTAAGTTATTATAAAATAATAACCTAGTATAACCTTATAATAATTATAAGTAATATATAAACATTAGACTTTAGGTACCTATTAATTAATTAACAAATATTTACTGACCGACAATTATTCCCCTTATTGATCCTATTACCAATAATCCAATTACTATTATCAAACTTTCCAAATTGCTTAATAAATTGTTGAGCATCCTCTTTATTTTCCATAGAAGTTCGAAGTGTTACAACATTGTTTGTTGATTGATCTAATTCGCAATTTATGTCTTCGTAATATTTAATTAGCGATTTTAAAAAAACCTCCTAATTAATAATTTATAAAAATAATAATATTAATTAATAGTGCTATATAAATACAAATAGTCTGTAGCTAATACAAATAAAATAATATATTTATTTAAGCCGAGTTTACACGGGTCGATCGCAGTCGAACGACTTTCGCCACACGATAACGCATCGATCCCAATCGAAACGATTAATTGTTTACACGTTCAACTGTTTCTTGGCTACATTTTAGTCGGAAGCAGTGGCGCCAAACTATATTTTTTTTAGTGTGGCGAGTAAAAAAAAATATCACCTACCCTTTTATAAATGTACACCCAAAAAGTGGGGGCTACCCCCCCCCCCTTACAGCAATCAATTTTTATTTTATAATCAACATTCATACATTTTATATTTGCAATCAAAGATTATATTGGTACAAATAAAAATTAAATAGGTATATAATTTATCAAATGTGTAATAATAAAATATAATTAATAATATTAATATATATTATATACATTATAAAATTAAAAAAAAAAACTGTTAGATAATTGTTTTTTATAATAGATTTTTAAGAACAGTACTATACGTTGTAAGGGTTTTTATTACCTTTTCATTATCAATGTTAATATCTTTTTCACATGATATAAGCATAAGTGATTCTAATCTATCTTCTCCCATAGTACTTCTCAATCTACTTTTAATTAGCTTCAATTTAGAAAAAGCTCTTTCAGGAGAAGAACTTGAAACCGGTAAAGTTAAACATATACATAATGCAATATAAATGGATGGAAACACTTCTTTTAAATTATTTTGGTGACACACCTTAAAAACCGTCGAAATATTTCCTTGGTTTGTTGCTAAATCTAGATCTTCTGAATCAATATCACTTTCAGTATTATCACTTGTTTCTATTTCTTCGTCGATATCATCTGTTTTGTGAATTTTTTCTGGTAGTATCATTAATTTTTTAAACATAAAATATGAATCTGAAAATTGTTTGTATTCACGTCTTAAATCATCAGCTTGTACAAATTTCCCATAGACCATTTCAAACCCATCAAAAGCATCAGTAGGTAAATTTGACTGCTCTGCTACTTTTTTTAATCTTTTTTCATGAAAAAGTGAAATATCTTTATAAAGTGGAGTAGATTGATCATTGAATCGCTCTAATATCTGTGTACTTACAATATCAATTATTGTATAGTAAGTATTAACTTGAAAATTTTTGATTGGACAACTGATTTGTTCATCTGCTATATTTTCTCCTGGCATTATTTTTTTTTTTTATCCTGTTTAATGATAATGGAGTGAATGATAATTCATTCGCTTTAGACGCTATAAATGCATTTTTATCTTCTACCAATTTTTTAAATTGATGCTCACTTCTGAATGTATGAATTTTTTCTAATATCAATTTTACGTACTCACTAGCACCCAACAAATTAATATTAACACCTTGCAAAAATTTAGTTAAAGGGCTAGTTAATTCAAAAATTTGCTTAAAAATAAAACCGGTTAGTATAAAACGCTCGGACAATAAATAATTTATCAAGCTACTAGCTTTGACACTCGATATACGATCAAAATCGTGTTGTAAATCCTCTAATGTATCAATGATTGAATCATATGTATCGAAAACCGTACAAAGAGCAGCTGAGTGTGATGTCCATCGGGTAGTATCTACTCTTTTTAGTCTTCGCAGTGGCTTTCTAGGATATATTTTTCTTTGGGACGCCGAGTAAAGTCCTACTCGCTTCTTACTACTGCCTATATAATCATAAAGTGTTTCCAATGTACCAAATAAGTCTCTAGCTTGTGAACAGGAACTTACAGCATCGACTATAACCAAATTAAATTTGTGTGCCCAACACCAAACGTATGTAGCTGATGAATTATGCTCTTTTACAATAGCTTGTAAGTCATTGTATGCACCTCTCATTGAGGCAGCACCATCATAAGATTGCCCAATTAGATAAGTTTTCCAATCTAAACACATATCTTTACATATATCATCAAGAACTGTAAATAAATGTTGATCAGTAGTCATTAATGTTTCTCTAACAGCTATTAACCGTTCATCAACTACACCGTTACTTTTATTTATATACCGAATAACTAGCGACAATTGCTCTTTTCTTGACACGTCAAATGTGGTATCTAAAGATAGAGAAAAAAATTTTGCATTCAAAATTTCATTTTTTATTGTATTACGAATATTAGTTGCAATAGCTAATATCAACTGATTTTGTCGATTCCATGATATAAAATTTTGTGTATGTTTTCCCCTAATTTGGACTTCAGTTAAATGACATGATAATGGAGGTGAATACTTTGCCAATAAGATAGCTAAATCTTTAAAATTTCCACGAACATCATCTTTCCAACCCTCTCTATGACCTCTAAAAGGTAAACAGTGTCTTCCCAAATACAACACTATGTCAATTAAATGTCTGATAACCTCCTTGTTCTGTACTATTTTTTTCATTTCATTTTCTTTTAACGAAGGTAAAAGTGGAAAAGAAGCTTCCTTATATGATGCTTTAATTGAAGCAAATACATGATTTTCGGTTATTTCATGTCTCGTAATTTTAATAGGGCCATTTTTCCATTCTGCAAACCCATCACACACCCAATGACATTTTCTATTTATTCCAAATAGCGCACAATTAAGACAATACAGTCGATTTTGAATTTTTGAATATGACATCCACTTTCTTCGAATTAATTCTCCAGTAAGTAATTTTTTCCAAAACCAGTTATCGTGGAACGATCTCCCATGAGAATCTTTTGGAAAACAGTTTTTGGGCATTTCACTAGATGATGGTTGCATCGGTCCACATTTAAATAAATAATCCAGTATTTCAGGGCTCAGGCTTTGAGTTTGAATAGAACTGAATATCACTGGATCACTTCCAAATTTCGATACTAAATTAATAATTAAATATATAATTTATTAGATACAAATAAAACATAATTACCCACTATAAAAATATTAATTTTTTATATATTTATTAGATCGATGTGTACCTATTACACTTTTATTTCATAATCATTTATTATTATTTATTACTTTATTAGTAATTTCAATATATAGAAGTATAGAAGTTGATAATATTTTTTATATAGCGATTAATAAAAAAATAATTTAAAGAACTTATTCATTATACATACATTCATTTCCAAAAGTGTTCTTATGAGTCTCAATTGGTGATTCTAGATCTTTGTTGGTAGATATAGCTATTAATTCATCATATTGGTTATCTATAAACTCTGTAGAAGTTTCAGTTTCCATAACCACAACATCAGCAGCAACTAAATTTATACTACCTATGTAAACATATAACAAATATGTATATATTGTTATGTTACATTTGTTATTGTAATTATTATATGGAAGTTTAAAATATTGTTTGTAGATATTAAAATATAAAAATTGCTCCATAAAGCAAGTCTAGTTATTAGAAACAATTATATATTGAGTTGTGGAATATAAAACCTTTTTAAACTTTTTAAAAACGTTTTTGAATATTAATTTTTTTATTTTAAGTATGCTTTAAAAATGTATTTTATAAGTATCTAAACTCCTAGGTATATGCTAGGAATAAGCTAAAAAAAATACAGTGTTTTAATTTACAACTCTAATGATTATTCATACAATTAACTTATTGACATTTATAAAACTATTGAATTTAAATTTAATTTATTTATAAACTTATTTAAAATACATACATTCATTTCCAATTGAGTTACTGCATGTCTCTATTGGTGCTTCTTTTTCTATGTTGGTGGATTTAGCAATTAATTCATTTGTACATTCACCATACTGGTTTTCTAAAAATAAAATATTCTCAATCAAATATATAACAATTTAATTTAGATATTTATCTAATAGTTATTTTAATACAACCTGAACTTTGTGTCTCATTGTCTGTAGAAGGTTCAGTTTCCATAACCACAATATCAGCAGCATCTAAATTAATATTATCTAGGTATGTATATTATATGTATAAAAAAATATATATATTTGCTCATGATGATACATTTTTTACATTTATACATTATTATTATACATTA